TCTTATTACAATATCAAATATATCAAAAATAAAATCATAGCAATATAAAACAAGATCTTAATAACTTGATGTCATTGAAACAACTATGCACTATACTTGATAATATAAAGATAAACTTGCAAATAACAAAAGTAGAGGATGCCGGAGATTACCTCAACCGGGCTTATTACACCTCACTTTGAGTCACCACTATCTGATGATACGGGATCAATGGTCTAGCTTTAATCTCGAATAGGAAAAGCAAATTTCGGCCAAATTGTTTATGCACCCTTAAATCTCTACAAACTCAGAACCTAACCTCAAAGTACTTGGTCATATCCCCACATTACCCAACCCTTAGAATTTTTAGGATGAGAGAGAAAGATTATAGCCCTAGGGTTGGGGCGTGCTCCTCTATTGGATAAGGAGAGAGAGAGCTAGAGAGAGAGGGGAGAGGAGAGAGAGAGTGGGGGGTACCCCTATGAGAGGGAAGAGAGAGTTATTGGAGAGAGAGAGTGGGGGGTACCCCTATGAGAGGGAAGTGAGAGTTGTGGGAGAGAGAGAAAATGTGTAGAAAATAGAGGGATACACCCTTATTTATAGTACAAAATTAGGTTTAGAGTTTTTTAAGGTTTCTCATAGTTTGCCTCTTTTGTTGAGATTGAATATGAACCGTTGATCAAGGCGACTTGTGGGGTGAGAAATCTAAGCCATCCATTCCATAGATGGGTTATCAATATTATGGAAGGAGTATGGATCATTATCCCATTTTCTTTAATCATTTTCCTATTAATAAATTTTTTAATAAATAAAATCTAATTAAAATATTATGCATTCTATAAAATAACATAATCTTTCTTATATTTTCACAAAATCTTTCAAAGAAATATCAAGTCAATATATACTTTCAATATTTAGTCAATATATTCCCATATCATATTTGACTATATGCCATAATACGAAATTACCAAAACTTGATATAAAGAAAGGAATTTAAAGGGTGGGGTGTGCCACCCATGGGAGGCACATGCGGGCCCCACCTTCTAGATGATAGTGGGCCCATGTCCACAATGGCCCCCCATGATATTTTTTATACATTTAAAATCAATAAAACAATTTCTAAAATGTTATTTGAATATTATACTTTTATAAAATCAATATATTTAATTTTATAAATCCAAAAATTATAAATAAAATATCAAATGATTCACAAAAATTCAAATAAAAATTCTAAAATAATTTTTATCATAAAACAAACACAGATTGAATTAATTTGATACGAAATGAATCCATATAACTTAAGAATTTAATCAACAATCATGTGGCACTCCACTTTCAACTGTGGACTACAAATCACACTTGCTTTATCAAAACGACCCAATATTTTTCATGACCCACAGTCTAAGCAATGGCTTATTAGCGAGTCACCAAAGTCTGGCCGATGAGCCAAGGGGCCGCAATCCCAGTCTATGGATTACAGGTCCTCCCCTAGGACAAGTCAAGGTCACCAAGACCTGATGTGACCATAACTCTATGGTGCATAGGGATATCTCTCGCACATGCATACGCTTCACCCTAAAATGTGGTTTTCTTGCTTTCCCGAATGGTTTATCGATATGCATGCCATATGATAGATCGTGGATGAGGCTTTGGCCCCCGTCTATGTAGGCTACCATCACACACAAGGGTCACACAGTCCCTCGACGCACTCATCCAGGCTAAGCGCCAATCTCATTAAGAGATAACCCATAAAAACCTTTCTCAGTTTATTCTCTATGCCCAAGTAATATTGGTTTTTCGTTACCCACTGGTTTAGATCGTCAATCACAGTTTGATATCAATAAGCCATCGTTTGCTTAGTATGCTCCACGAGGGACCATACTCCCATTGAGTTCTTGCTCCAATATATCAAATATTTGTATTACATACTCACAAGGCCTTTAAAGGCCACATAAACCCAACAATGAATTTATATATGAGCTTAGAGTTTAGTATGGACAAAACCAACTTAATAGGCCTATGGTATGAGGAAATAATGGTTCATAGGCTGCTAGAATTATGGGTTGCAATATTGGTTGTCTCCTTTGTAAATACGTAGCTCTTCCCTTATCATATGGTCACCTTCCTATATCTACACGAGACCCTGTTATTGAGAAGTTCCAAAGCTAAGTTGGATCCGTGGAAAAGCAAGTATATTCTTTGGGAGGAAGAATCACTTATGGTCAAATCAACATTATCAAACCATTTGTATACTATACATCATTTTTCATCATGTCAAACCAAATTCAAAAGAGGCTAGAATAGCTTACGATGAATCTCTTGCAGGGTTCCAACGATGAAAAATAAAGTTTTACCTTGTTGCTTGGGATAAAGTTTGTTTACCAAAAAGGATGCGGGGTCCGAGGTCGAAAACTTGGTTATATAAAGGTGGCATTTTGTACTAAACGGTGGCGGTCTTGTGAGGATCATAAGCTATAGAACACAAGCTGCAGAAGCTAAGTAAGGCCCATTATTGGATGAAAGGATGACAACATGTTCATGGACTGGAATTGCCTGTTGCATACCTTTCTTCTAAATATATTTCAGTAAGTTGATTAGTGTGGATAAATGTACTCTTTGTTAAAATTGTTAAAGTGTATTTTCTAGAAATTATATTAGTCATTATTTTATTTTATTATGAGTGATGAAGTGAGGTTGTACTCATAAGTTTGTGAGTAAGAAATTAAGAAACTACTAGGTGGTTAGTAATTATTGTTGCACGTGGTAGTTATTGTAGTAAATATAGTTGTTAGAACTTCTATTTAAAGAGATGTGTGTGATGAGAAAATTGGATCACACATTTCAAATTTGTATTGCTTTTGTTTATCCTATTTTTCATCTTTGAATGAAGTTTTTTCTTCCACATCATCTTGATTGTTCTTTTCCTATCTCTTTGGTGGTAAGTTTTCCTATGTCTTTTAGGCTAGTGTGATATTATTGCATTAATTGAGAAGCAAATTGTTCCGGTATCATGACATCCGTCTTTCTCCACACTCCTTTGTGGCACCATAAATAGTTAAATGAAATACTTTTAAGGTTGGAATTCTCTAAAGTTTATTGAAAATGGTTAACCAATTCGCCACTGTCAGGAAAGTTGTTAGTGAGCAAGGGCGAAATACTGTCTGGTTGATTGAATGCACATACCAAAACATGTTGGGCATATTTAATGATTTTGTTGATTGATGGAAAGGTTACTTTTAACTCCTGCTATTTCCCACAAGAGAAAGATGAATTCATACTGGAAGCTACTCCGGGTGGTCCGTACCCAAGGGTCCACTTGGATTTGTAAAGCCTGCCGCCACTCTAAAGCAACAAAAAGCAATTGGCACTGCCACAAATTTTGGGAAAGTTTCTTTTAAGGACTTATTTCATCCTGGCGTTTTCATTGTAGTCTTGTTGGTTTTCGTAATCACAAATAAAATAAATATTAAATATATTTTAAGAAATATTTGACATCTCATTACTTTATTTGGATACTTATGTTTATATTGTTTGGCATCACAAAAGTTATCCTAGCTTGGTTTTTGTTTAAGGGAGCAAATAAGTACTTTGCTCCCGCAGGAACACAGTACAAACTGGTCTGTTTATATTTACGTTTATGGTCTCTTTCATAAATTACACAACATAATGCATATTAATATGAAATAAAATACTATATTCTATATAATATATACTATATATAATCTAATAATATACAATAGAATTGACATGTTATATGTAATATAACAGTTTTGAATGTAAAACATTACTTCTCCACCTAAATTTCGATGGGTCCATTCTATTTGCACGAATTTAAGGAAAAAGTTTATATAGAGCCCAGGCTCTAAACATTCAAATTAGAACTCAAAAATTTTGTTGGAAGAAGTTGTTTCGATGCCTAAATATCTTCAAATTGAACATCTTGACATCAAGATGCATGGACATGAGAAATAAATAAATTTTAAGTTTGTAAATAGTGCATCTTGTGTCGTTTTTTTTGACCGTCAATTTTCTTGATTTTCACGTTTTTATAAATCTGCTCGATCTAAACTATTTTTGAAGCTTAAAATTTTATAATTAAAGATGAAACTATATTTTAAGGCTATCACGAAGATTTTGTAAAATTGAAATGACATTTCTCGATACTATTTGAAGGTGTGATTTACTTTGATTATTTAGAACTTCAGCTCTAGACAAGATGCACCTTAAATTTAAAAGATCAAATTTAAGAAAAATAATTATTAAAACAAAGTGAGACTAAATTTATAATTACAAATACAAAACTATGATTGAGTAATACCATTAATTAATAGATAAACATTCAATAATTTGAATATTCAAATTTTAAATGTTGATTTTTTAATATCCCAAAAAAGGAAAAACCTAAAATTTTAGATTTTAAATATCTAAAATTTAATTAAAAAAAACATATATATATATGTATATGTTATATTTACTGCTATTACGGGTTACTTCCAATTTTAGTTATTATATCTATATCCATTTTTTTAGTTTTATAATACTTTTATTAAAAAAAAGATGGATCTACTTTTTTTTCGTTATTAAAAAACTAAAATGTTCAAAATCAATAATTCTTGAATTTTGAAAAGGGATTGTATATAATGAGATAATTTACCATTGATACAAGATGGTCGCAATTCCTTACAACTATTTATGTGAAATTTGATAACGTGGATGTGTCATGAAGTTCGAAAAAATTTCTTTTGAAGTTTGAGCTTGATTTGTATAATAATTACAACCACTCAACTTCACACCCAATGATCAAGATTATTGTGTCCACTTTGTACTAATGGTCTCATTCAATACTTTCCCTTTTGAAAAAGACAAATGGCACAACCCCTTCTACCAAGGTTTATATTTATATTTATTTGTGATGGGTGAGCTTACTAAAATCGCGAGTGCAAAAACTGGAGCGATTGAATTTTGCGGGTTTCATCTCTCCTCCAAAATATGCACGAACTTGTGGTTTTCACCTTAACGGCAAAAGGGCAAAAGAAATTAGGTTCTGCTCCCGCGGGCGCATCATTATAGAAACAACGGAGGAACGAAGCAACCAATAAGCATGAGAGAATGGCGCCCTATTACAAAATCTGAAACAAAACCCTAAGTCCAACTAAAAGCTCGGCTTTTTAAGTTGCAGCATGGCGAATTCCAACAAAAGTTGATAAACGAAAATCACTGGAATAAAGAACCTCAGCTACAGTTGCTGAAATGGCCAATCTCAAGGAACAAGAAATCAGCCATGGCCTCTTAGCGGTAAACAGTGTTAAAACAGTGGAAGCTCCTCAATGGTTGGACCCTAAGCCTGAGCTCTCTGCCTCTACCAGGGCAGCTTCTCAGTATCTATTCTCTCAGCTTCTCCCTCACTCTAGAAACTGCCCCTTCTCAGAGCTCATAGTCGATGGCTTTGACGCGGAGCAGATATGGATGCAAATTGACATTCAGACAAAACCTATTCTGAATTATATCAAAAGAGAGTTGAAGAGTATTGAGAAGAACCCTGAAACAATTCAGTCGAATGATGAGGAATTTGCACCAAAAGATGGAGATGCTGGGTTGGAGTCTGATGAGGATTCAGAGGGTGGAATTGATGAAGAAGAAGAAGAAGGGGAAGAGAGAGAGAGAGAAGAGAGAGAGAGAGAGAGAGAGAGAGAGAGAGAGAGAGAGAGAGAGAGAGAGAGAGAGAGAGAGAGAGAGAGAGAGAGAGAGTAGTAGTAGAGTAGTAGAGTAGTAGTAGTACGACGTAGACGTAGTACGTAGTAGTAGTAGGTAG